AGATTTTGTGTATTGGAAAACATTGTAGAACATGTATTTTAAGACAAATTTGCCGAATATTTCATAAACTTTGGACGAACGGTTCAAAAGTTAGAAAACATGTGGTAAATAAATGCATTCTGCTGTACTATGAACAGTACATTGGGCCAAATTGGGTCAAAATATTTATGTATGGTCAAAATCGATGTGGGGTATCAAATAAAAGGTCTCGATAAGAACTTTAAGAATATCATGGTTATGGACTCTAAAAACAAATAAGATTAAAAACATTATACATTTCTCTTGCTATTAATGATAATTCAAAGTTTTACTGAATTCTTATGTATGAGAACGATTTTTATAACTCTACTGACGAACAAACTAAAGAGAAAAAAATAAGCTTTAGTAAAAAGCATTCTAGAAAATTGGAAAAGAAAAAGGGACTCTACTGACCAGCAAACCAAAGATTTGGAAAGTAACAAAAAAAATATCTATGAGGAAACTAAAAGAAAAGACATAATTAGAGAAAAGTACCAAGAAGAAAAATATAAAAAAATCTTAATTATTATCGATTAAGTCGATTATGAGGAAGTTAATGCAACTTGCCTTAAGGCAAAATATAACTCACACCTAGTTTCATTAATTTCGACCCATCTATTAATATATCATCCGATCTACTAATCCATTTTAATCTATCATATTCAACCAATTAACGCATTCTAATTCAACTGCCACGATGTCGCTTCGATATATATATATATATATATATATATATATATATATATATATATATATATATATATAGGGAATAGGTAAAGGTATAAGGGTACGTAACTTAAATGAGGGTACGTAACTCCTGACTGCTCCTGCTATCGATAAATTACAACATTGTATCGACGACTACGAGATATACACAATGATGTATCGATATATCGGTGTATCGATTTTAACACCACCCGTACTTGTACTGTTTGGGGACATTCATCTTGGGGATTTGGAAGGGATTAATGAGGTAAAGGGTACAGGTGATATATGTATATATATATATATATATATATATATCGCAATGATTTATTCTATTTTGTTAATTATATTCACAATCTTTGCATAAAAAAAATTTTACGTCTCCAGTTCTTCCATGATTTACTAAAAACATCGATTCTAAATACTAGTGCCATCTTTGTGCCCGTTAATGGTCTCGTTTACTCATCAGTAGCCTCTTTTTCAACTTGTTTTAGTTTGCTCGTCAGTAGAGTTTCTTGTTTTTCTCCCATTTTCAATTTAGGTAGAGTTCATTTCTTTTTCTTCGACCTGTTTACTGATTTTTTTCATTCTTTTTGTTTTTTTAGTTTGCATCTCAGTAGACTTTTTTTTAACCTTTTTGGTACTTTGCTTGTTAATAGAGTTATATATATATATATATATATATATATATATATATATAAATAGATCTTCAGTCGAAATTCTTGCTCTTTTCAAATCTTTAATTTGGTCGTCAGTAGAACCCAATTTAAATTTGTTCTATTTTGCAATAAAATTAAATTGCTCATCAGTAGATTTCATTTTATTAACTTCTCGTAAGGTAGTTATAGTGATGAGCCGAAAATCAAAAATGAATTTTTTTGCATTTCTCGACGTTTTGAAGGTTTCTGAACATTTTACTGGCATACCTCAAAAACTAAATGGATGTGTGTGTATGGATACAATTTTTTGTCCACGTTTTCGGGCGCACGGATCAATCGATTTGAATGGTTTAAAAAACATTCTCTCTTTTGATAGGAACATGTCCTGATTAGTTTTTGGCAAAGGCAGGTCCCGCCATTTCGTAGATACAGCGTTAAATGTGCAAACAATGGCGGTTTTTGAGTGAACTAAGCGTCCGATTTGAATGATCTGAAAAAACTTTCTGTTTGTATTGACAAAACAATTGCTTTTGAGGATAAAAAAATTATTGCATCTTATTTTATTTTTCATAAAATATTTTTTTAATTTTGGATCAAAAATTCAAAAAATTAGGCAGGCTAAGCACAGTCTAAGCGCCACTCTGGTGCAAATATTTACCCAAGTGCGTTTAGACTGTTTATTTATTTTTTTGAAATTGAATTCGAAATGAAATGACGATTGTTAATGTTCTGGAGATAAATTCTGAAGATTTATGATTTACATTTGATTTGCTCAGATATAAGAAGATAGCAAAAATAATGAAACTTACAGTATTTGTTGTAATAATATATTCGAAAACGTTTAAAATTTCTCGAATATTTGATTATGATGCGGGAAGTTACAGCAATTTGCCTTAAGGCACGATGCCATACACCACTAGTTATATTTTTTTTACATCATGATGCAAGAACTTTTTTTACATCATGTCACTTTGCTTATGAGTAGAGTCTTATCCAAGGGTTGTAAAGACAACTATTTATTGGATTGTCATTAAAATTACATTCCTTTTAATATAGTTTACTCGTCGATAAAGTTAGTCATTCCTCTCTTGATAATTTCTTTGTTAGTGTCAGTTTCCTTGATAGTTTCCCTCTTTTGGGTATATATTATTCCAACATTCCTTTCAAGTTGTTTTTAGTCTAATGTTTTCTAATCTAGTGCTTTACAGTGGTTTCTAATCCTTACGAGCGCTTTTCAGTGCTTTCAAGTGCCCTTGAGAGGGTTCAAGGACGTTTAGGATTATATAAACGTACAAATCCCATTCAATGCGAATCAAACCCGGTTTGAAACTTCACTATAACCAAATTGCCTATTGGCAAGTTTCAATTTAAGACAATATAGACATCATCACACACTTGCTACCGATTGCCTTTTAATCCTCCTGCAAGTGCCTTTGCTTCATCTCGTTCACACGACTTGCTCCCAAATTTTTTCTTCGACTTTTTCTCCACCTGCTCCACACTTGCTCCATCTGCTGCTGCTGCTCCCAAATTCTAACCATTCACCGCCATCACCGCCAGTCGGTGGTGGTGTATTGTAATCGAATCAAACACATGTACATATGGAGTAGTAGTATAATAATACAGTAGGTACCCATCGTGCAATTTAATCTGCTCCAAAGTTTATTTCGACTCGGCGAATTCTTGTTTTTAAACGGATTAACCTCTCCGACAAACTCTCTCTCTCTGGACGATGTAATATGAACGATATATATATATATATATATATATATATATATATATATATATATATATATATCGAACAAGGGGCCAACAGTGTACCAACGCCGCCGCTTATGCAATTATATTAAAGTTGTGTTTAGCCGAAGCTGCGCCTAATTTAATAAGGATACTGATTCGGATACATCTATACAAGTATTAGTAGCTGTTTGGCTACTGTTGAGGATTACTTTACTCTATCGAAGAGTACGTACGTTTAATAAGAGCAAACGGGGCGACCAATGGGGTGCCGAGTGCACGTTCGGTAAAGGATTTAGTCGCATTAAAAAGCATTCACTTGTTGTCCTTAGGCATATAATACATACCAAAAACATTCCAAACGTGCTAAGACAATTAATATAAAGCTTTATACCCATGTACGGGTGTAAATAGGTACATGACACAACATTTATTGCTGTGGGATTGAACTGTAAACAATAACTAACGCAACAGTGAAAGAATTTTTAAAATCCGTCAATAAATACGCGAGTTATGGACGTTTTTAGTATTGTTTTTGACGTCAGGCGACAGTGATATCGCTCCAGAATTTAAAAACGGCATAATTTTTGCATTTGTTGAGATATTTTGATGCGGTTTTCACACGTTTGTGTTATTTTGTTCAAAGTTTTGTAATAAATAAGTTAATTTAAAATTCATGCTATATATTTTAACAAATGAGACTAAATACTTAGAAAAATCTGAGTATTTGTATATGAATTTGTTAGGTTTGTAAAAGTTTTGTTTGCAATATATTTATATATATTTATTAGGCTTTATACCCATGTACGTGTGTGAAAAGGTACATTATACTACATTTATTGCTGTAGGATTGAAGTGTAAATTACAGCTAACGCAGCGGTGAAAGAATTTTTGAAATCGGTCAATAAATAAGCGAGTTACGGACGTTTTTAGTTTCGTACGACTGCAGCGCCATTGTTTTTGCATCAGGCGACAGTGATGTCACTCGAGAATTTAAAAACGTCATAACTTTTGCATTTGTTGAGATATTTTGATGCGGTTTTCACACTTTTGTGTTATTTTGTTCAAAGTTTCATAATAAATAAGAAGATATAACATTTATGCTATATATTTTATCAAATTATACCTAAATACTTAGAAAAATCTGAGTATTTTAATATGAATTTGTTACGTTTGTAAAACTTTTATTTACTTTATATATATATATATATATATATATTTATATATTATTTATTTTATATATTATTTATAAATATATTTATAAGGCTTCATACTCATATACGGATGCAAATAGGTACATTATACTACATTTATTGCTATAGGATTGAAGTGTAAATCATAACAAACGCAACAGTGAAAGAATTTTTAAAATCCGTCAATAAATACGCGAGTTATGGACGTTTTCAGTTTAGCACGACGGAAGCACCATTGCTTTTGACGTCAGGCAGCAGTGATGTCACTCCAGAATTTAAAACTCGCATAACTTCTGCATTTGTTGAGATATTTCGATGCGGTTTTCACACTTTTGTGTATTTTTGCTCAAACTTTTATTCTAAATCACGAACTTTATAAAATTTCAACTCCAACACCACTTATTACGCCAAACACGTTTTTACAAAACTATCTTCATTATTATTATAATTTTATTTTATCTCGTAACAGGTGTTTATCAGTTCCAAAGAAATGTGCAGGCTGATCTCTCGAACAAGATCATTTCTCAAGTGTTGTGTAATTGTGATATTTATTATTGTAATTATAATTAAATAATAAAATTATTTAATTATTATGGCGTGCCTTGTTAATTTAATTTTTGACAAAAGAAAAAAAGTGGTTGTGATTATGAAGTGGGTGGCAGTGATTTGGATACTTTTTGGATTTGGATGCACTTTGGGGCAGGAGATCACGAGAGTGGACCCTTTAGGTAAATAGTTAAATATATATAACAATAAATAATAAATATATATATAATAATAAAATTTTATTGATTTAGACTTTCTAATATTTATTTCCGAAAATTAATTTTTATTATGGAAGATGATTTTTTACAAAGTTTAAACTGTTTTGACTGTTCCTAAGATCTTGCAAGGTCTTCAATTGATTTTGACATGAAACTGTTTGGGTTCGTTCCAATTTTTCAAGTATTTTTTCAAGATCTTTTATAGACTTTTCATAGATTTACTTAAAACTTCTTGAAATTTCAAACGATTTATTTTCATTTTTAAATTATTTTTTTTATAAAATTCCATGGTCTTTCAAGATCTTGCAAGACCTTTAATCGATTTTGAAATTTTTACTTCAACCTTGCTAGATCTTTCATAAACTTTGATTTTTTGACAAATTCATCAAGATCTTTCTGAAATTCCCAAACATTTTTGTCTGTTTTTAAACACTTTTTCATAAAATTTAATGTTCTTTCAAGATCTTCAGAGATCTTTTATCGATTTTGAAATATTTTACTGACCTTGAAAGAATTATATATGTTTTGCATTGCCAAAAATTTCTTCCATTTACAGTTTTTTTTTATATAATTAACTTCATAATTTTGTATTGATCTTTAAGATCTTACTAGATGCTTCTATGATTTTTGCAGATCTCTACTCATATAATACATTTAATATTGCTAAACAATTCTTCTAAAATCTTTATAGACCTTTATTGTTTTTTTAGAAATCTTAATAGATTTTCATCGATCTCTAAAGATCTCTGCTATTCTTCAACCGTGCATTTATTATTACAAAGATCTATTCGAAGATCTTTATAGATCTTCATACATTCTTCAAAAGTCTTGATAAATCTTTATGGATTTCCGAATATTTCAGCTTATCTACAACCATGCATTTATTATTACCAAAGATTCAGCCTAAGGTCTTTATAGATCTTTATCGATTTTTTGAAGAGCTTGATAGATCTTTATTGATATCTAAAGATGTCTGCTATTTTTCAACATTTCATCAATTACTACAAAAGACTTATTCAACGATCTTAATAAATCTCCATAAATTTTTCAATGATCTTATTAGATCTTCATCGATCTCCAAAAATCTCTGCTATTCTTCAACCATGTATTTATTTTTACTAAAGAATTTTTTCAAGATTTTCATAGATCCTGATTTTTTTTTAAATATTCACAGATCTATGGATTTCCCAAGGTTTCAGCTTATCTACAGCCATGCATTTATTTTTACCAAAGAATTATTTCAAAATTTTTATAGATCTTTATAGTTCTTTTACAGATCTCATCTCTTTTATAGATCTGTTTTATTTTATGTCACCAAAGATTTATATTTTCAATATAATATGCTCTAGATTTTTTTTTCATTTTAAAAATTTTATTTACCTAGAAAGATCTTCTTCAATTTCGACCCTGAAAATGAATTCGTGTCATCACGCGAAAAAACATGAGAAATTAATTACTAAATTGCAAAACTTCAAAACTTATTTACATCAAGTAATTTCTTCCAAATTTTTGTTAGATATTTTTTGCTTAGTTTATGGCTGAAACTATATGGAAACGTAACAAATACGTAACAAACAAAATCAACATAAATATGGGTCAATTATTCAGGGCGGTAAAACAATATTTATACATTTCTATTCTGTACGTTTTGATCTTGAATACGAATCCGTGTCATCACTCAGCACATCAAACACGAAATTATTGAATAAATTGCAAAAATATATATAAAAACGTGAAACAATCTACCAGTGTTTTAAATTAAATCTGGATGTGAGAAGAGCATATATAAAAAACAACCCAAAAATTGGTATATACATATGATTTTTTCTGAGGCTATTTAAAATGATCAGGTGGTCTGGACACAACCACAATCTAGAACTTAAAAAAGAGCTTTATTATTAAAGAGGTTTACATGCGATTGAAGTAAAACTTATTTGCTACTGTACAAGATGGCATTTAAGTTAAAAATAAATACATCATATAACAATTTTGAATAATGTTTATTAGTAATACGGTAACACTTGTGATACACATATTTATCAGTGTCAACCATTATGCACATTTATATGATAAATTATAAATTATATATTTATAATAGCATTAAAAATATTTATAAAATTTAAAGACAACAATGTAATTAAAGTCATACTTCAAATACGACATGATCGGTTTGTCATTGTAATTAGCATTTAGAAATGAACCTTCATTAAAGAAATCAAGTAATTGCTGTTTAATAAATTCTATAATATTCGCTCACACAGTAAACAAATATTATTTTCGTAACTTTACTCATCATGTAATAATTGTGTTTGGAAAACTTCATGTAATTAAAATTAACATACATTCATTGACAGCTTGTATTTTTTTCACTCATTCTTTGAACAGCTGAACATCTGTCTTTCCTAAAAAATATTTTTCATTTCAATAACTTCAAAGATTTATAGAAACTACGAATAATATAGAAATAATTTCTAATCAATAAACCTACGTTTAGTACAGGGCTCAAAGGTTTAATTTGTTTTATTATTTTCAAGGAACAGGATAAAATATTTTTCTGATTCAGGCATTTTTCATTAAATCAAGGTTTGTACTACGATGTAACTTTAAAATTTTTATTTATCTATGCCGATTTTCTTGTTGATGCCGGTACGCATACAACGTTGATGCCAGCAAGAATACAACGACAGATCTCTATTCTCATATACGACGGACTAATCAGAATTGACCCGTATTGATATGATTTCATCGAGAGCGAATGACGTACTGTTCGGGCGTGACGCATTTTCGTTGCATTTGTATGGATTTACGCCCCAGTCGTGCCTAAAGAAGTTTTACTTAAAAAATAACTTCTCGCAATTCGTCCGTCACAAAGACAAACTTCTATTAAATAATCATTTTCCGTCCGTCCGTCCGTCGGTCCGTCCATCGACGGAGCTTCCTGAAATCTAATTTCCTTCACGATTGTAAGAAGTTGAAGTTAGAGTCGTGGGAGTTTTCCATTTTTTTTTTTCTAATTTCCCGAGACTTTCGGGGCCGCCGTCGTTTGAAAATGCAAGCAAACGCAATTAGTCATGCAGATGGAATCTTATCCGACTAATTAAATTCCTATGAGTGGAAGAAGTCGGTGGAGCAGGCGAAGGAATGAGGCTGTATGTACGTGTGTGTGTGTTTGTGTTTGTGTTTGTATGTTCGACGAGATGCTCTCAGAATTTTAACTTAATAACTGCAAAAGCTGTAATTTGTGCCATAAATAAGGCAGGAGGAATTATGGCAAAGTTTTTGTAGGAAGAAATTACACGCCCGCAAGTAAATATATACATTTGTAATTTATTACGTTAGTTCAGGCATTAATTTTACGTTTGATGTACTGAGTTGATGGCACAGATTTGTGTTCAGGGTCGAAACGTACGGAATAAATTTATACTTAACAGATTGGAAAATAGTTTTTCACATTTGCCTGTCATCTTCTCGCGTCTAGATTTAGTTTGAAGGACTGAAAAATTGTTTTTTCATGCTTGCTTGTTAGTAGATTCCTTTTTTGTCTTCTCAAGTTCAGATTTTCGATTCAGCAATCGTTCAGAAAATTATTTTTTTATATTTGCAAATTAACAGTATTACAGAATTTCTGGTAATAAATATAACCGACATGCTCGTAGGTCAACCATTGGGTTGCCCTTTAACAAAAGCCTTAATATTCGCAACTTTCAAGTTTTGTTTTCGAGAAATGATAATCCTAAATTTGCTCGTCAGTAAGGTTCCTTTTTTTCTCGATCTAAAATTCGGTTTGCTCGTCAGTAGAGTCCTTTTTGTCAAAAAAATACTGTTCTTCTTTAGTTTTACCAGAGTACCTTTTTTATCTTAACACATTTAAGATGAAATGGAAAAGACATAGGCCCAAATTGCTTGTCAGTAGACTTGTTTTTTATACCCATTAAATATTTATTTTACTTGATTCATGTTCAAGTTGAGTTTTAGCTTTATTTTTTTGGCTTGTAATTTTTTTGGTACTTTTTTTGGTCAGGGTCCATGTCTCTGATCCCACGAGAGCCGGACTGCAAACATAGACCTTTATTCTTCCTGAACATTAATGTTAATAAGCAATTATTGTTTTCAATTGCGTTTTTAGGGTATACCGAGTTGCTGTAGAACTTCATGATATTAGACAAAATTTTACATCATTTAATTTTCTACAAATTTGCTTTAAACATCAATCAGATCGAGCGAACGGTTTGAAAGTTACAAGCAATATAGTTCGCGATGCAGTATTGCTGTGTTATAAACAGTACAGTGGGCCGAATTGGGTCAAAAAAAATTATATGGTAAAAATTGATGTGGGGTATCAAAAAAAAGGTCTCGATGAAAACTTTATAAAAATTATAGTTATAGACTCTGAAAAAATTAAAAACATTATACATTTTTCCTAGACCTAATGATAATTCAAAGTTTTACTGAGTTCTTATGTTTGACATCGATTTTAAAATATACCGAGTTGCTGTACGGCTTTGGCGTGTTAGATAAAATTATAGAAAATTCATTTTTGGACAAATTCGCCGAATATTTCATTCCAATTAAGCGAACGGTTTAAAAGATACAAGCAATATAGTAAATAAATGTACTTGCAATTCTTGAAGCAATGTTGCTGTATTATGAGTGGTACAGTGGGCCGAATTGGGCCAAAATATTTTTGTATGGAAAAAATCGATGTGGGGTATCAAATGAAAGGTCTCGATGAGTACTTTACAAACATCGTAGTTATGGGCCCTAAAAACAAATGAGTTTAAAATTATACATCTTTCTAACATCTAATGCTAATTTAAAGTTTTACTTTACGTTTGAGAAAGATTTTACAATATACTTAGCAATTTGGCGTATTAGAAAACTTTGTAAAAAATTCATTTTCAGACAAATTCGCCGAATATTTTATTTATATCGAACGAACTGTTCAAGAGATACATGAGATATAG